GAACCTATTTCTTGATTCCTAGTGAGCAGGAGACACAAGGGACCAAGGGAAGTGAACTGTGGAGTTTTGGAAGCTCTGGGAGAATAAATCCACTCATTCACACGGGATTGCTGGCTGGAGGACAAATTGGTAAGTAGTGACTGTCATTTGCAAAGATTCTGTTCAGGCAACTGGACCGAGTTAGCTGTATCTGCCTTAGATTTTTAATTATGTTTTCCAATCCACTTAGGCATTTAAGTCTATTTTAGTTGTGTTTCTGTAAGCAGTGACTGAAGGAAAACTGGTCACTATTACAATGCTGTGACAAACCAAAATGATAGACAGTGTCTAGAGCCAGTGAGGTGGCTCTGAGGAAAAAGGGTCTTGCCTCCAAGTCTATACACCTGAGTTCAGTCCCCTGGTCCCATACAGTAGAGGGAGAGAACTAACTCCCAAAGGTTGGCCTCTGACCTTCACACACAGGCACACACAGTGCACAACATACACACACTTGTACACACGCACACCTGCACACATGCATACCTGCAGCCGTGTACACATGCACACACACACACATGCACACCTGCACACATACACACATGTACACCTGCACACATACACACATGTACACATGCACACATGTACACCTGCACACATACACACATGTACACCTGCACACATACACACATGTACTCATGCACACACACACACACATGCATGCATGCATGCATACCTGCACACATGCATACCTGCACACACACACACACACACACACACCTGCACACATGTACACCTGCACACGAATGTACACATGCACACATGCATACCTGAATACCTGCACACATGCACACATGCATACCTGAATACCTGCACATATGCATATCAGCACACCTGCACACATGCACACCTACACATATGCACACATGCATACCTATATAACTGCACCCATACACACATATATGCCTGCACACATGCACATAGACACACCAACACATACACACATATACACAAAGGACACTCAACTATTTGACAAGGCACCTGTCATCTGACAAGGCAGACATTTATTTGTTTTGGTTTTTGGGTGGTTTTTTTTTGGTTTTTTTGTTTTGTTTGGTTTGGTTTGGTTTGGTTTGGTTTGGTTTTTAGAGACAGGGTTTCTCTGTGTAGCTTTGGAGCCTATCCTGGCACTTGCTCTGCAGACATTTATAAGAAACAGTAAGACTCAGGATGCCAGAGTGGATTGGTTACTAAAACAAGGCTGCCAGCTTTCTGAGAAGCCTGTATGTATTGGCTTTGATATGGCCACATACATTCATATTTTGCTCGTGTTTCCTCTTACCACAACTTTAAAGTGGCAGCTATGTCTTATTACTTGATAATAAGCCTTTCACCAGCTCAACCAGCCTAACATTTACTAGACAGAAGATTATAAAGTCATGTGACACTAAGAACATGGCTTCTGCTTTCAGGAAAAGGAGATTAAGCAAAACAGGTAAATATCTCAACAGCCATTCCTAGATAGACGTGGGGAAAATATCTCCTCTGTCAGACAAGTAATGCTCCTGCACCACTGGTTTTGCTGGTCTAATTTGCTTATTTGGAATTTTGAGAAGGTTTTGCATTGTTTTTGTTTGTTTGTTTGTTTGTTTGTTTGTTTTTGAGACAGTGTCTTACTACGAAATGCAGTCTGGCCTCAAACTCTTGATCCTCCTGACCCAACATTCCTTTGATTCCTTTCATTGTCTTAAAGCCTTTAAGTGGGGTTTCCTGCATGACAAACTTCGTTTGTACAAGCCAATCGTTTAGCCAAGATAACTGTTCCCTTCCTGTGCAGGCAGTTCTAAAGCTGTGCATGCTATAAGCCAGGAGTTTAATTTTCTGATCATTACAGAACTTAGCAATGCTGCAACAAGATCACAGAACTAGGGGTTGTGGGGAGACAGAGCACTTGTACTTTACGGTGGAAAACGTGGAGTTTTGAGACTGCTATCTTCCAATTCTTTCTCAATCACTCAGCAATGCGACTTTTGGCTGAATCTCAGTGTTCTAATACCATGTACCCAAAGGAGTTACCATGAGAGAGAAAGGCAATAGTTGGGCATAAGGCATGCACTCAATATATGATCACAGCTGTGCTGCTATTTTTAATTAGTATTAAAATGATTATTAAAAATAGATATTCTTAGGTGATACAGAATGAAAACACATTGTTCTATAAGACAAATACTGATCCTGATGCTCTATCCTGTTTGATTTTTTTTTTTTTTTTTTTTGAGATAGTGTCTGACAGTGTAGCCTAGGCTTATCCCATAATCTTGATCCTCCTGCTTCAGCCTCCCGAGAACTAAGTAACAGACAAACCAACTCACTTGGCAGACCATGCTTTTCTTATGCCCACCTCAGTTTTAAAATAAAGAGACACTGCTTATGGTGGTCTGAATGCGAATGTCCCTCATGGTCTCGTATATTTGAATGTTTGGTCCCCAGTGGGTGAAATTGTTAAGAAGGAATAGAAGGTAGGGCCTTGTTCAAAAGCCTACACCAGGCCCTGTCTCTCTGTCTCTCTGTCTCTCTCTGTCTCTCTCTCTGACCCTCTCTGTCTCTGTTTCTCTTGTCTCTCTGTCTCTGTCTCCCTCTTTCTCTCTCTCTTTCTCCTGCTTGTGGACCAGAAGTAAGCTCTCAGCTACTGCTCCAGCAACCATGCCATGCCTGCCAGCTGCCAATGCACCCCACCATGATGGTCATGGACCAACCCCCCAAAACTGTAAGCAAGCCCCTAATTAAATGCTTGCTTTTTGAGATGCACTGGACATGGTATCTCTTCACAGCAATAGGACAGTAACTGAGACACTGCCATAAGACTTTTGTAAGAAACTATAAAGTATAAGCAGTTACATGTTTTCACCTGGGTTCTGGGGATGGATCCAACTTACCAGCTCCTCATACAAGTTCTCTTACCCACCAAGTCATCTCGCCAGTCCAAACTTTTGCATTTAATAAAACAAGTCAGCAAGTTGTATTTGAATATGCTGTTGCCAGCTACTACTAAAGTGAGAACAGTTGTTCTGAATGGCAATGGGATTCCAGTTCTTAAAAACCCAAGTGTGGGGGCTGGAGAGATGGCTCAGAGGTTAAAAGCACTGGCTGCTCTTCCAGAGGTCCTGAGTTCAATTCCCAGCAACCACATGGTGGCTCACAACCATCCATAATGAGATCTCCTGCCCTCTTCTGGTGTGCAGATATACATGGAAGCAGAATGTTATATGCATAATAAATAAATAAAATCTTAAAAAAATAAAAAGAACCCAAGTGTGTTTGCTGTTGGTTGACTCTGCAGAAAGAGTATGAGGTACTAGAAGTAAACAACGAGTATAAAGTCTGTAACTCTAAAGCATTCATATTATCAGAAATGAATTGAGCTTGTTGGAGAAGGCTCCGGACAGCCCAAATTCTCTGGAATGAAAAATTCTGGCTAGACTTGAAGAGACATTTTTAAAACAGAGGGAAGATGCAGTCATAGACTCACAAGATGAGTTGGGTCCTAGTGGGCACATTTGTCTAAAAGACACAAATGTCAATCCTTCAATCAATCAAATACATCTAAAGTCTACCATCAGTCTCCAGTAAACACAAAGAGAGTCTAGCAAGCTCCGCCTCCTCTCACCTGCCCCACCTGCCCTGTCTTCCCTACACATCAGAGCACCATGCTTTTCCCAGCTTGTGTTTTTACCTTCTTGCAGAGAAGCTAATAATTAAGTAGATAGACACAGAGTTGAAAGAAAAAGATCAAAACCAGTCTTTCATGCTAGACAGGGGAAATCATTTTTACATGACACATTTGAATGAGTCAGAATCCATGAAAAGTTAAGACACATAATGCATGCCAACTCTATGTAGACATGCATGCATGCAGATCCATGCACATACCCCCTTCTGTCACCCTCCTCTAGCTCTTCAGATAAGTGCCCGACTAGAGGAAAGTCCCTCTGCTCAACTGCATTCCTCTTGGTGTGGGCCATCGTGATACCACTGAGATCACCGACAGCAATCTGCTTTATATGCGTTAGAAGAAACTGCTCAGTCAAAACCGTAAATAAGTAGAGGATAGCAAACAGCAATATATTGAAGAGAGGCAGAAAACACAGATGGGATTTTAAGCTCCTCATGCTATTATTGAAAACTAATTAAGTCCTGGAATTTGTTTCATGAAAAGAGACACATCTTAATTTTGAAATAAAAACAAGACAAAAAAAAAAAAAAACCTTGATCTGTTTACATATAAAAATATGGCAGAGGAAAGTAAAAAGAAAAAGACCCTCTGTCATGCACCCAAGAAACTGACCCAGGCATTTCATCAGAACAACTCTTGAGCCTGTGTTTGCCATACCTGAGCCCCACTCAATCACGCTGCATGTCAACAAAGAAGGCAAAACAAAAACAGGGACAGGTTAGCAGAATAAAACACAATGCAACTGTATGGAGAATTACAAAATTAATTCAAAAGTTTTAACACCTAAATGGATCAGTGACTGAACATGTTTTTGTTTTTTTGTTTCTTTTTTTTTTAATTTAGTTTACAAGCTAGGCTGCTCGTAGCTAAAAGAAGGCAATTCGAGACCCAGGTTTCATTTGCCCAAACACTTTGCCCTTCTTGGATTTCAGAGCAGGCTGTGAGTGGTTCTCATTGGTTAGGCCAATTGTTTAATGTCCTCATTAGAGCACAGAGATTAAGGGAACAAGGACACGACTTTAAGTTACATCCATTCGATGCTTGTTAAGTCCCTTGGTATCACCTAAACAGTAACCATTGCCAGGGTGAAGTGTGACCTCAAATCATGAATAATAAAACTAGGATTTAACATTAGACATAAGGCATTCGTTTTAAATTATAAAAAATAGAAAGCTGTATTGTTTGGTCTGTTCCTCAACTTTTCAAAATATTGCAAAGCAGTGCCTGCTGCTGTTTCACTACCAGCAAAGGTGGCAAAGGATGGACCAACACCCCGTACCCCCGGACTTACTTCTCTTCTGTGACACAGCCTGCAAGCAGGCTGTCACGATGTCACAGTTCTTCTGGACTTTATGCAGAAGCCTATCTTTCTGCTTCAGCTGCCGGAGTAATTTCGCCGACTGGATGCCAATCCTGTACTTTAGCTCTCCAAGGATTGTCTTCAGCTCACTAGAGTCTATCAAGAAAGAAAGATTATATCCTGTGAGAGGGATATAAACCGCTAGTGTGCTACTCATCAAAAGGTGCCTATCTAGGAGACACAGTTCCTAGGCAGTGATGGCACACACCCACTAATTCCAGGCAGTGATGGCACACGCCTTTAGTCCCAGCACTGGGGAGGCAGAGGCAGGCAGATCTCTGTGAATTCAAGACCAGCCTGGTCTACTGAGGGAGTTCCAGGACAGACTCCAAAGCTACACAAAGAAACCCTGTCTCAAGAAACCAAAAAATAGGGCTGGAGAGATGGCTCAGAGGTTAAGAGCACTGGCTGCTCTTCCAGAGGTCCTGAGTTCAATTCCCAGTAACCACATGGTAGCTCACAACCATCTGTAAAGAGATCTGTTGCCTTCTTCTGGCCTCCAGGGATACATGCAGGCAGAACACTGTATACATAATTAATAAATCTTAAAAAAGAAAGAAACGATCTGACAGTTCGGGCAGTGGAGGAGAGGATGGCCTAGAAACCCTTCCCCTAGAATGAGATTGATGACTACTCTCTATGCTATCCTAGAGTCCTCATCCAGTGGCTGATGGAAGCAGAGACAGACATCCACAGAAATACACTGAGCTGAAATCTGGAACTTAGTTGAAGAGAGGGAGGAATGAAGAACGAAGGGGTCTGTACCTGGTTGGAGAAACCCACAGAAACAGTTGGCCTGAAAAAGGGAAAGCATATCGACCCCAGATGCTCTTTGGGAGGCCAGTACGGGACTAATCCAGCCCCCTGATCATGGATGCCAATGGGGAGGCCCCTGCACTCCTGGGAGCCTCCGGAGGTGGACTGGCGTTTTGCCCTGGTGGGTGGGGGGGGGACTTTGAGAGCCCATCCCACTTGAAGGGATTCGCTCTGTCTCTGAACACATGGGGAGGGGCCTAGGCCCAGCACAGGAAAATTTGGTGGACTAAGCCTGTTCCCTAACTTGAATTAATAATAATAATAATAAAAAGAAAAAATAGAAAAAAAAATAAAGAAACCAAAATACAAACAAACAAAAAACCTATTTTTCTATTTTTTCACCCAGGATATCATGTACATCTTCAGCTAAGACTTTCCAGTCTTAGGAATCATCCATTCATCCTCCACTTTACTCAGAAGACAAATTCTACATGATAAATGGTATCCTTGATGCTATATGTAACACATCAGCAAAGACTCCTACTTTTACCATAACCAGCTCCAGGGGCCCATTTACCTCTTAATGCTTGAAAAATTAGCACTCATTGAGCCTGACAGTACAGGCCTAAAACAGCCCCAGCTCAAAAGACTGAGGCAGGAGGATCACAAGTTCAAAGTCAGACAGTATAACTAAGATCCAGTCTCAAGAACTTAAGTGCTGGAGAGACAGTTAAACTTACCATGCAAACTCACCAAGCCCAGCACCCATATAAAAATGCAATCATGGTGGCACACTGTCCTCTGTCCTCTGACTTCTGTGTGCACGAATGTACACACATATGTACATACATATACACAAAAAATAAATAAAAAAGTAAAAGAGGGCTCAGCGGCAGAGAGGCCTTGCCTAACTTGTGCAAGGCCCTGGTTGTTCAAACCCCAAGACCACAAAAATAGAAAACCGGCTAAAAACAACTTTATCAATTGTCAGTTGAAATAATGTGGTCGTGCTAGTTTTGCTTAAGCATGTGCTCTTCTAATAGCCCACCCAGTAAATTTCATTTTAGAACCTCGGCAATTTTCCATATGTGGCAGAAAATGTATTTCCTCTAAAAGGATCAAATAATTCTGCATTCTTGGAGGTACAGACGGTTGTTAGCCAAGCCGTATGGTAGGATGTGAACCCAGTCCTTTGGAAGAGTCAGTAATCTTAACTGCTGAATCATCTCTCCAGCCCCAAGTTGTTTTTCGCTGGAAATAGTACATAATACGGAGAAATGCTGAGTTGTAGGTGCCCTAAGGAACACCAAAAATTGACTGGGTGGTGGTGGCGCACTCGGGAGGCAGAGATAGGAGAATCTCTGTGAGTTTGAAGCCAGCCTGATCTACAGAGAGAGTTACAGGACAGGCTCCAAAGCTACACAGAGAAACTCTGTCTCAAAAACAAACAACAACAACAACAACAACAACAAAAAAAAAAAAAAAACCACCAAATATTAGATAGGGTTTTTTACGTTATCTCACATTGTTGTGAGCAATAGTTTTAAGAATGCAGAATTGCTACTGCTATTAATTATTATTATGGTTATTAGTTCTTTTAGCTGTTTAAGAATTATTTTATGTGCTTGGGTGTTTTGCCTACATGTCTGGTCACCATGTTCAGAGCCCCAGGTAGAAATATCTCCCACAGTAATAAACATACCAAGGGCAGAATCGGCCTCCGTGTCAACTCCGTTTCTCACTAAGTCACAGAGGAAATGGTTGGCTGGAAAACTGACTAATTTCCTCTCTAAGGAATTTTATCCTTATGTGATAAATGGGTTTGTAATAATGAAAATTATCTCTAACATTCCCTGAACATCTAACACACATTAAATTGGGTAAATAGCTTGCCCGAGGCTATACAGCTAGCTAGAAATAGTGACAGTATGTCAACCAGGGAATTTGACTCCAAAGTTCAAACCCCTCACCACACACAGTCCAGTTTCCTTTAGATGCCGTTTTGTTGCTGCCCCTTAAATCACAGATGCACATACACACTAGCTGGACGGGTGCTTTGCTGATGTGACAACAAGGTGTGCCGCATTGAGGAGAACTGACTAATTCACGGGTTATCTGCGTTATGTGAAACCCAAGTGAACACAGTACTTAGAGTAACTTTGGAATGACTTGTTTCTGAAACTGAAAACAACCAAACTCAAAGAGCATTATTTCTGCAGACAACTGCCTCGCTCACCTGACTGTCTAATCACAGTGTTCTAGCAATGTTTATCAACAGAGACAATATGTCACTTTGTGGCACCTTGTCCAACCAACATGTCAACTGCAGGGAAAGAGAGGATTCACTGGCAGCTGGGTTAGCAATGAGATGAAAACTGGGGAGAAACGACTCTCCTGGGGCCTGTGAGGGATTGGTAGAGCAGCTGGTCACAAGGCAGATGGGACGCCCACTTGCAAACTGTGGACCTCTCCTGCAAACTTGGCTGGGCTGCCAGGTTTCCCTCTACCGAAAGGAGATTAGCAGTTCCCAGAGTCTCCTGGTAGTGAAACAGGAATAGGCCTCTCAAACGAGGAAATGCAAATCAAAATTTTCAAAACTGATTCTGTTGGACTCTGAACTACTGCCCTATAGCAAGAGTTTGGGCATAAACACAACTCTTAGCACAGTTGGATAGTTATATAAAATAAAAGGGCCCAACTCCAGCCAAAGTATTGCAGTCAGCTGGAGGGAAGAAAACAAAAAACTTCATTAGGAAGCTGGAAAAGCGGAAAAGGAAGCTGAGAACTGTTTTCGCATGTAGGAGAAAGCAGATTTATTGTTGGTTTTTTTTTTTTCTTTTTTTCTTTCTTTCTGGAACCAGCTAGACCAGTTACAGCAAGTACACGAGCACTGTATAATTCTCTTTATCCCTCCCAGAGTCATTTAGCACGAGGAGGATACTTGCAAGAAATGTGATGGTGGCTTCTGTTCCCCACAACTTACTACACCCTGTAAATTGAGGTTTCCCTAGGTCTATGCAAAAAGACAGCTAGTCCTGATGCCTGAAATCTAAGCTGTCATTATTGAAGGCTAATAATAATCTTCTCGGCCATAACGTGAGCCCCCGAGCTTGATAACAAAAGAAATATCAAATTAGCCTCTCCTCCGAGGAAACCAAGGCTCCACGCTCCGGGCGGGTGGAAAGTGGCAGCAGTTAAATGCACCGTGAAGGCCAAGCCCTCAGACTGTCCACTCAATCCTCTCCAGAGACCCAGATTAGACCAAAGCTGCTGGGAATTTACGCTCTACTGCGAAATTGCATTATCGAATTATTCGGCTTCCCTTGTTAAACCCTATCCGAGTGGCCTGGCTAGGGAAGGGGGTGGAGTGGAAAGTCCTAGAAGTCGTGCGTCTCTCTTCTCCCAGCATCCTCTAGATAACTTGTGATACACAAAGAAGAAACTCCAAACTAGTCTTAACGGCTGCTCGGGTGAAGTTAAGATTCTAGACTGAGCCTTGGACACCAGAAGGGCGTGGGAGGAGCTGAGGAGATTCGGCCAGGCTCTGAGCCACACCTGCAGAGGGGGAAGGGCTGGGCATTAGGAAATACAGAAAGTGTCACAGTAGGTGACCAAAGTCAGATGAAGTGAGACTCCGCATTCTCCGGTGTGCGACAGGGTGGCGGCGTCCAGATGGCGCAGATGAGCAGGTGGGCAGCTGGCGCAAATGGCGCGGGTGGATAGGTGGCGCAGGAGGTCAGGTGGAAAGGTGCAGGAGGGCAGGTGAGCAGGGGACGCAAATGGCGCAGGTGGACAGGTGGTGCAGGAGGGCAGGGGGCGCAATGGCACAGGTGGACAGGTAACGCAGGTAGCGCAGGACGGCAGGTGGGGGAATGG